GTGGCCCGCTGTCATTACATATGGTATCAATGCTAATAATAATCGCGTGTTTTTGATTTTCAGTGCAGCCGCCCTCACCCCCAGGATAAGTACCGCCGCCGCCGCCGCGGAGGAGGGAAAGGGCATCAGGGGCAAGGGAGGAGGGAAAAGGCAGAGGGAGGGAGGGAGGAATGGGAAGAGGGAGAGGGGGTTGGAGGGAGGATGAGGAACGAGGATGGGGATAGGGAGGGGGCATGCGGAATGAGGTAGAGCAGACGGCGGTTGAGTTGACCTATGGGCATCCCCCGAATGGACACCCCCCTACCGCTATAAGTTGACTGCGCGCATGGGGGGGGACAGGAAAGCAACGCGTTGTCTTGAAGCTTTCCAGAATCACTCTGGAAAGTCGTCCGGAGGCTCCTCTAGAGGCTCCACCAGAAGCTCCTCCAGGGGTTCTGTCGAAGGTTTGAGCCGATGCTCTTCCATAGGTTGTCCATGGGACCTTGTGCTGGACGGCGCCAAGGGTGGTCTGCAGCCGTCATTCGGCGGTCGCCGCGCTGAGCAGGCGCTGCCCTTCGCTGCGTGGGCGGGGGGCTCGCTCGACCTGCAAACCAGGCTGCGATTTGTCGCGCGGCAAGCGGCTCGGTGCGGCCAGAATCGGGCGAGTGCTGATGCGTTGCGCGAAGGTCCGCGCCCTCCGCCGCTCCCGAGGGAACTGCAAGCAGCTCGTCTCCATGGGGATGGTGCCTGTCGGGGCGCGGGGGGGCTCGATGACGGGGCGGGCGCGAGGACAGGTGATGCGCCCCTTCCCTTGGCCCCTGCAGGACTCCGAGGTGGCCGAACTTTTTTGGGCTGCTGATGCATGTCACACGCGTGTGCCTGCGCCCTTTTTGGTTTCTATGTCTTCGGCTGCGACTGGGTTGGCACCACTTTCAGTGAAGGCCGAGATGCCGCAGTAGGCAGCACGCGCGCATGTGCTGACTTCTTGAAGCGGGCGTGGGAGCGGGAGGACGACCTGGGCGGGCCGTGGAAGTCATCTAGGTCAAAGGCCATGCGCGGATTTTCCTTGCCTTGAGTCACAAAGCGGGCGTGAGGGGTGGGCGGATTTTCCTTGCCTTAGATGCTGTGTGGCACTTCGTCGGAGAGGCCCGACGTTGCCCCATCAGCCAGACTGCTGTGCGACGATTGCCGATCGGAAGTAGCTAAGTACCAGAGGCTCGGCAACGCTCAGGCCGACAAGTCTGCCAAGATCGGTGCGGCCAAACATCCTCAGGACCCAGCCGCTAACAAGAGGATCCTTCGCACTGCCAGTCTTTTCCAGGCACGCGTGCAAGTTTCTCGCGCGCTCTGCGGGCCGCGGGCCTTCCCGCCAACGATGTTTCGGTTCGGGATGCGGAGACCCGCGGCCGCAGGCGCCTCCATCCCGAGGTTCACTGCCGGCGAGGAAGATCCCGCGTGCGAGCACGATCCCGACCAATTCGCGGACAAGCTGCGGTGTGCAAGGTGCTTGCAGTCGGCCACGACGGCCAAGGCGCTGCGTCAGGCTGAGTGCCGAGTTGCAGTAGGCCACCGCCTCTGGAGTGTCCTCCTCCTCCTCCTCCTTCTCCTCCTCCTCCTCCTCCTGCTCCTCCTCCTCCTCCTTCTCCTCCTCCTCCTCCTCCTCCGCCTGGGCGAAATTCATATTCTGTTCGGGGCCCACAGCCCCGAATCCGTCTGGCGCCTTCGCCCTGCACGTCAGGCTGGGGGACTGTGAGCTCCTCCCCGGCCGGTGAGGCGGTTGCATGCCGAGTCGCCCATGTTGGACCTGGCGGCTCCCGCCCGCAGGGTGCACGTTGCTCAGAGGTGGTGCCCGCGGGTATCTCTTTCGCTTGCGCGAGTCTCGCCGCCACAAAAATGCACCGTCTGGCCACACCTCAGTAGATATCTGCCACTTTCTCGTTCAGCCCTCCTTCCTGTCTTCCTCGCGCACACTCCGCTCCTCCTCGAGCCCGGCCCCCCCCTTTCCTGCATCCTCCCTCCCTCCCCCCCTCCCTCCTCCCTCCCTCCTTCCCTCCCTACCCCCTCCCTCCTCCCTCCTCCCTCCCTCCTCCCTCCCTCCTTCCTCCCTCCTCCCTCTTCCATCCTGGCTGGCCCGTTCGCAGACGCCTCCCTCCTCCCTCCCGGGCGGACTGGTGGTCCTAAACTCGCGGCTGCAAAGCCAGTCCTAGAGCGCCCCATCCAGAAAAGATTTGGAACCATGCCCCTGTAGGTGTCTGATCAGATCTCTCCCCCCCCGCACTTCCCTCCTCCCCCGTCCCCCCATACCCTCACCCCCATCCCCACCCTTCAGCCCGCTCTCCCATGTTTCTCCATCTCCTCTCCCCCTCTCCAAGCCTCAGTCCCGCTTTCTCCCTTCTCTCCCTTTCCGCCCCCCCCTGCGCTCCGGATGCTCCCCCGCCCCGCCCCCCCTCTCCGCGCGCCCGCTCGCTCAAAAAAGGAGCCTCACCTCCTCGAGCAGCAACGGATGGCCGCCGTCGCTCAGGAGCCCCCAGGGGGGGTCGGCTGGAGCGTCTTTCTGTTCGGTTGTGGGAAACACACACAAACGCAATGAATCGCCGACTGCCAGGAAAAGATGTGAAAATATGGGAAAGGGGAGGTGGGAGACGAGAGTCCAGGCTATAGGGGCGACGATAGGGGGTCCTGAGATTTGTGCGTGTGCGTGTGTTTTTGCATGTATGTATGTATATATATATATATACATACATATATATATATACCTACATACACATATATATAGAGAGATGTGTATATATATATATACACGTATATCAATGTATATATATGTATATATACATAAATGTGTGTATGTGTGTGTGTGTGCGTGTGCGTGTGCGTGTGCGTGTGCGTGTGCGTGTGCGTGTGCGTGTGTGTGTGTGTGTGTGTTTGCGTGTGCGTGTGTGTGTGTGTGTGTGCGTGTATGTGTGAATGTGTGTATGTGTGTGCGTGTGTGTGCGTTTGTGCGTGTGTGCGTGTGCTCGTGCGTGCGTGCGTGCGTGCGTGCGTGTGTGTGTGTGTGTGCGTGTGTGTGTGTGTGTGCGTGCGTGCATGCGTGTGTGTGTGTGTGTGAATGTGTGTGTGTGTTTGCGCGTGTGTGTGTGTGTGCGTGTGTGTGTGTGTGTGTGGTGCGTGTGCGTGTGCGTGCGTGTGCGTGTGCGTGTGCGTGTGCGTGTGCGTGTGCGTGCGTGCGTGCGTGCGTGTGTGTGTGTGTGTGCGTGTGTGTGTGTGTGTGCGTGCGTGCGTGGGTGTGTGTGCGTGTGTGTGTGCGTACGTGCGTGCGTGCGCGTGTGTGTGTGTGTGTGTGTGAGTGAGTGTGTGGGTGTGTGTGCGTGCGTGCGTGTGTGTGTGTGTGTGTGCGTGTGTGCGTGCGTGCGTGCGTGCGTGCGTGCGTGCGTGTGTGCGTGCGTGCGTGCGTGCGTGCGTGTGTGTGTGCGCGTGTGTTTGTGTTTGTGTGTGTGCGTGTGTTTGTGTTTTTGTGTGTGTGTCCCTGGGCACCCTTCACTTTTTCGCGGGCTTCGGCCCCTGGGGGTGGCCTGGGGGCGGCCAGCCTGGCTCGTTCCCCCCCCCCGTCGGGCACCGCCCGCCAGACCATCCCAGTCCGACCCGAAGGCCCCGATGTGCCCTCCATTTCCAGTGGGGGGGGGGATCGGGGAACATAGAAAAAAAACTCGTGTGAACGACGAAAGAAAACGGGGTCGTCGACTGCGCCGACATTGGCGCGTAATCTGCCCGCGTAAGGTCGCGCGTAAGCGCCCTCGTCTCCAGTGTGGCGTGCCGCGCTGGCGGCCCGCGGAAGCCGCCGCGTAAAGTCGCTATGCCATCTCGCGTGAGGCCCCTTTTTGATCGTCGTTCATGAGACGCCCGTACACCCCTCAACCCGGAATTCGGGTCTTCGGGTTGGGCTGGGGGTGGTCCGGTGGGTGGTCACTTCGGTCTGGCTCAGGGGCTGCGGCCCTCAGGCCAGAGGGAGTGCTGAGGCCACCCATACACGCCGAGTCGAGCGGTTCGCGCCCTTCCCTTGTCTTCAGGGGGCGGGCGGAAGCCCAATCTGCTTCCAACGCTGTCCCACATCATGTTTTCTTACCGACTTCTTCTGGCCGGCGCGTGTACTACGTGTGAGACTCGGGCCTCCCCGCTGGTCAGAGTCTGAGGCGCCTGAACATCCAGCGGCCTCTCCCTGTTAGCAACGAGTGGCCAGTGGCGGGCTGTTTTTCAATCCCAGGGCTCTTCGAGGGTCGGGGACGACGTCGGGGTGGTGTGGTGTACAGTTTTTGATCGGTTACCTGGGAAAACAACTGAAAATACGTACACCAGGGTCTCGTATACACCAGGGTCCGCTGTCCTAGTGCAGGGCCAGCAAAATGCGTCGGTGCATAGAGTTCGGTTCCCTAGTAAGGGGGGACCGCGCTGGGGTATCGAGTATGTCAGTCGTGCACACGGGATTAGATTTCGCCGGCGATGCCCCATCTAGCTACATGTTTGAACTATTCGCGTCCAGGGCGGGATCGAGTCGGAAGGGACGCGGGCGAAATCCGATTACATACGCACGGAGATAAGCGTGGCAACGTGAATGTCAGCGACGTGCTCTTCGTTGGTCCTCAGGCCCCCCATGCGCACAGATCAAAAACTGGCCGCTGGGATTCTGCAGCTGTTCTGGCTCAAGCGATGTTGTCGCTATTGATGTGCGTTGTTGAGAATATCCAGCTGCCTGCGGCACAACCCGCCTCCTGGCCTGTGAAGAGCCCAACTTCGGATGAAGGAACCTGACCGTAGCAAGGACAACTGAGCGCAAACTGAGGCTAGGCACACCACAATTTCGACGACTGGTCTGCATTAAAGCAGGTTGTGAACTCTACCTCGTCTTCGTCCGCGCGGTAGGGGGAGGTCGAGTTCACGTCGCGCTGCAGCCCAGCAAGCGGTCTGAATTGATACGGGTCGCGAACTTGGCCTCATCTGCATCCGCGCGGCAGGGAGGAGGCTGACGATATTTGATGATGATGTTGATGCTGATGATGCTGATTATGATGCTGATGAGGAGGAGGATGAGGATGAGGATAAGGATGAGGATGAGGAGGAGGATGATGCTGTTGCTGATGATGATGTTGATGCCGATGCCGATGCTGATGCTACTGTTGTTGCTGCTACTGCTGATGATGATTAATACGGTGATGATGAGATGATGATGCTAATGCTGATCATGATGATGATGACGATGATGATGCTGATGATGGTGATGATGCTGATGCTCATGATGATGCTGCTGTTGGTGATGATGATGATGATCATGATGTTCATCATGATCATGATGATGATGATGCTGATGATGATGATGATGATGATGATGATGATGATGCTGCTACTGATGCTGATGATGATGATGATGATGATGATGAGGATGAGGAGGAGGAGGAGGAGAAGGCGGAGGAGGCGGAGGAGGAGGAGCAGGAGGAGCAGGAGGAGGAGGAGGAGGAGGAACAGGAGCAGGAGCAGGGGCAGGAGGAGGAGGAGGAGGACCAGTGACTTTAAGGGTAGCTCTTTGGGAGATGTTACAGTATCGGGAGCATAGCCCGCGCGCCGTTGCCTTTGGCTCAAGGCACGCGCGCCCCATTTGCCCGGACGCTGCTTGTGTTCGCTATGTGTTGGAAAGATCACTACATCGATCTTATCCTATCCTATCCGTCCATTCCTCTTACTGAACCACCTCAGTACGATACCGGACGCTATTTGCCATCCGCTTCCCATGGAATCGGATGCTATTTGAGTTACCAGGCTCACTTTCGACTTGGTAGCGGAGCTGGCCGCACCCTCGTGTGGTCTGCTCTTGCTCTTCTCATCCTCATACTCTTCGGCACGATCCTTGTGACCACCTACCACCCTGCGCTATCACTCCCAGTACGTTTACGAGGATCTATCCAAGAGCAAGAAGCAACACGAGAGGTACGACGTCTAGACAACAGCACTGGTACCATATATGCTTCATCATTGCGCTACTACCAACCGCTCGACAACGAGCCAAAAGCGCAGCACTTGAAGCATGGGCGGGGAGATCCGCCAGATAGAGCGCCTCGAAGACTCGACAAGGCGCTACCCCAGCGCGGCAACGCGCCTAATAACCACCCCTATCTACACAGCCTTGGGCTGGTTATCTTCGCTATCATATGGTTCGCGCTGGGGGCAGCAATCGGACACATGCGTCGTGGAGACAACAGCACCGATGGGCAAACACATGGCCCATATTGTGACCCTCAGGGCAACGTACCTTTCCGCGAGTACGTTTATGAGGCCAACGCGTGGCTCAACGTCACAAGCGGACGTATGACGCCACAGGCCCAAGCGGCCGCCATACAACGCGGCCTGGGTGGCCTAGCGAGGACACTCGCCATGAGGGCACCGCCGGACATCATAAATTATGGTGCTGACATCGATGGGGCCCACACCGACCCAGTGACCTACATCATGTTCCTCCTAAGCATGAAGTTCGAACGCCTGGAAGATGAGCGCCAGCTCACTTCCGGCACACAGCTCATTGACTTTCACGTGCCTCGCGGAGAACGAATCGATGTCACCCTTACCCGATTCGAAATGGCCCGACTTGAGGCACAGTCGGTGGGATTTGACCTTCCCAACTTCCAACTACTAACCACGATCCTGTTCCGCGCCTTAGGCGTCGGCAACCAGCGAGCCATGCAACTCTTACAGCCACTCAATCATCAAATGCCCCGAACACAACAACAGTATGATGAGTTGCTGGAGAGGATGCGTTCGATAGGTCACCTATCAGAACGGTCTCCTGGTAACATAGGATCTGTATTTGGAAGGGGAAGGGGATCTGGTAGTGGGAACTTCTACACTACCTTAACCACTGACGCCCAGCCTGGAAACGGGCCCTCAAGCATGTGGGCCGATGATCCTGGAGAATCCACTGCTCTATTAGCAGGAGATCGATCACAACCAAGCTTGGCAACCAGCCCTCCTTCTAGAGAACCACAACCACACCGTTCTCTATGGGGTGAATCAAACCCCCTAACCGACGGTGTATCCACCTACTTGGGAGACGAGGATTTCGACTCCGGCACCGACACAGATATTATATCATCAGACGGTGTTGAAGTTTTAGATTGGTCAGATATTATGAGTATGGATAATGACAACCAGCGTGCTGAACATTTGTTTTGGTTATTACAACAGGCTAAACGGAGGTGGAGGAGGTTCACACGAAAACCAGTGCGTCGTGTTAGGAGGAGGACGCGGAGGAGCTTCAAGGGAAAAGGTAAAGGTAAACGAGGCCGTCGGAGGTTGAACGGACGAGGCATCACGGCATTCCTCCAGAGGCTCTCAGATGAACAATATGATGAGATACTCTTCGGGGGAAGGGGCCGCGGCAAAGGCCGTAGAGAGACCTCAGGAAAAGGCAAGGGCAGGCGGGGAAACCCGCGAGGTAGAGACGGCCAGGTTCTTAAGTGCCATGAGTGCGACAGTGCCGAC